AACAGTGTTTTAGCGGCTGCCACTTTGCATAGAATTAGACGTGATCGCATTCCATGAATTCTAAACTCCTGAAACTCTTGAAGTTTATAATTCGCATGTAATTCACTAGAACTAAACAACTAACGGAATCCCAGAAACTTAGGGAACTCTGGGAACTCACACAACCCACTGAGCGCACGGATCTCATGGTAGTAATAGGATTCTTTGAATCGACAGAATTAAAAAAAAACACAGAACTCATGGAACCCAAAGAACTCATCGGATCCACTGAATCCTGAAACTCACATAACCTTCAGAAATTGTGGAACTCACATAATGCACAGAACTTTCAGAATGCATGGAATTCTCAGAGCTCACTGGAGAAGGTTAGCTTAATAAAATTTTGAACAGTCTTGACGTCAGTGTGAGTGAGTTTGTTCTTATTTAAACTCATAACAACACATAACATAATACACACCGGAACCAGAGAAACTCAGACCACACCCACAAACAAACATTGGATAGAACCCCATAACTTTTCCTTCATCACCATTCACATCCACACATTGCAGAGATCTCATGGTATCTTCTAAATCTAAGCTATATCGCTATCTTTAGCTATACCTTTTTATTCCGTTTTCACTATGCTAATTCTTGTTCAGGCTCAACCAAAAACTCTTCTTATCTCAGAGCTCGAACCCGGACATCGATATGAATTGGTTTGCACAACCCATGCCGGATTGGTTCGATACAGAATGGGAGATGTCATCAATTGCACGAGATTTCTTTGTCGAGCCGATGACTTGGTTTCATTACCAGAAGAACCAATCGAGATTCCAAGAATTCCTCTTATTTCACTTGCATATCGTGTTGGAACTCTTTTGAGTGTATTTGGCGAGAAAACAAATGAACAACATTTGATAAATGCTCTTCAACAAACTGTTTGGCAATGGCGAGAACAAGGAATACCAGTTAACTCTTATGAATTTGCGTCGTATCCAAGATTAGATGTATTTCCGGCTCAATACGTCATCTTTCTGGAATTGATTGAAGATCAAGAACACAAGATTGATGCACAACAACTTCAAATTCTCAAGAATACCGTCAATGCAGAAGTCGAACAAGAACTTTGCAAAGCGAACCAAAATTATCAAAATAGTCGAAGTTCAACAAAGCTTGGTCCGCTTAATGCTATTCTTGTACGAAGTGGAACATTCTCAACTTTTTTGAACAAGTTCTTGTGGACTGATAACGCAAGTCCTGTGCAAATCAAGCCTCATCGAAGGTTGAGGAATGAAGAACACATTAGATTCTTTTATGATAATCAAATTGATACATCATTTTTCTAATTGTGACTCTTCTTGCAACAATAATAACAATCGAGTCGATTCGCATATGATATGTCGGCAATTTATTTTAGATTTTAATAGTGATTTGTTTGAATTAATTAATGCTTAATTTCTTCTTATTTTACAACAATAAAAGAAATAAATATATTATCATTTAAATTCCTCTTGCCATTCTATTCTAGCTACAAAAAGATTCGATATCCAATATCATTCCAATAATTGACGATCTAAGGCTAGAGAGATTGCAACACTCATAGCGCCACTACCGGTTGTCATTATTTACTACTATATTATATCTTTTCACTGTTGAAACGAATTTACCACATTACTCAGAACATCACTAAACTTTGCTTGAATGCAAAGCTACTTTCTAACTA